ATTACGGGGCTCTCACCGGTTTGAATAAGGCCGAGACGGCAGCGAAGCACGGTGAGGCCCAGGTGAAGATCTGGAGGCGCTCGTATGACATCCCCCCGCCTCCCATGCAGGCTGATCACCCCTTCTACAGCACCATATGCAAGGTAAGACCCGTTGCTCTTTATCTGCCTTGCTGGGAGGCTCCTAAAAGCTACCTTAGGTCCCTGCAGTGTGGTCTGGCTTCCTCTGCAAGGTCTCCTCTGTCTCTGTTGTAGCAGCCAGGACTGACGTGCATGGTGCTGGTTGGCATCCAGCTGAGTTTGTCCTGCTCCCTCCCTGGGGAGTTGAACCCCTGGGCAGTGAATGGCCAGATTCAAAGCAAAAAAGATGATACCTCTGTTAATCATTAGTCCTGTGACCCGTGCATGGATGTTTGCTCTGGTCTCTTTGCCCAGAGCAAGCGATGTGTGGCTTTCCCTAGCAGAGGTTCAGAGCCCCAGCTGTAGCTGAACACAGGCTCAAACCTGAAAGGTGCTTCTTTGCTTCCAAGCCCAGCTTTGCCTACAAATTTGGGGTAGGGGGGGATGGAGGCCCTGATGCCACCTTCCCAAATTGTGTTGGGCTGCTGCATGAGTGTGGCCGTTTCCCCAGGACCGTCGCTATGCTGACCTGACAGAGGACCAGCTGCCAACATGCGAGAGCCTGAAGGACACCATTGCCCGGGCTCTGCCTTTTTGGAATGAGGAAATAGTCCCACAGATCAAAGAGGGCAAGCGAGTCCTTATTGCTGCCCACGGCAACAGCCTGCGTGGGATTGTCAAGCACCTGGAAGGTACGTCAGCCCTGGGGGGCATATCGTAGGGGTCTCCCCACTGCCTTGGTTGGCACTGTGTGAGCAGGGGGCCACAAGTGACAGTGCCTCTGTGTTTGCAGGCATGTCGGAAGAGGCCATCATGGAGTTAAACCTGCCAACCGGCATCCCTATCGTCTATGAACTGGACAAGAACCTGAAACCTGTCAAGCCCATGCAGTTCCTGGGGGATGAGGAGACAGTGCGCAAGGCCATGGAGGCCGTTGCTGCTCAGGGCAAGGTCAAGAAGTGAGGGCGGGCACCAGGCTAGCACGTAGTGTAGCCCCCCGCCGTCCCCCACCCCTCTGTGCACACCCCCCACAGCCGTAGGAACTTGGAGCTGTGGCGCTGGAACAGCTCCCAGGATTAGGCCCGTTCCCTCGGGACCAGGCTCCCCTCTGCAGACAGCCTGGGGGCCCGGGGGCAAGGGGCTGTATATGCTGAGGTCTGGTGTGAAGAGGAGCCCTGGCTCTGCCACACACCTCTCCACAGCAAGATCCCAGCCCTTGGGCCCTGTCTGCAGGGGGATATGCCGAGTGATCCCTCCCTGTGCCAGGCTCCTCTGCTTTGCTTCCTTGGCAGCTCTCGTTACCCAGTTACTGTAGTTTTGTTGCTTGATGTAGTCATCCTGGGAGCAAGGGGGTGAGCATAGCACAGGCAGCGACTAAGATGGGTACCCCATGCCCTCGTGGGTGTGTGGCACAAGGACTAGGATGCGTAGGCACTTGAAAGGGTTGTATTTGGTACATGTGGTACAGCACCCAAGGGTGGTACTTGTCACTCTAGACCTAGCTCTGCCAGCCCCTGCTTTAACTTCCTGGTTTTGGAGAAGGGTGAGGGAGGGAGCCTGTTGTCTGAAGGTTTGCGTCCACCACATACTTCTCCCACAGAAGCCCATCCTAGTCCTGCTGGTGAAGCAGGTGCTGTTGTGCCCCATCCCACGCATGTGTATGTGGCCCTGTCGCTGTGGCCTCCCCCTCTGCTGGCACCGCGAGCCTGGGCTTGCACGGGGTCACTGTAACTGTCCAACAATAGCAGCTGTCTTGTTCCGGTTCAATAAAGAGTTAATGCGCAATAACGAGGTGTCTGTGCTTACCTCTGTCACGTGCTCCGGGTGTGCAGGGCAGTGTGCCTTGCTCACATGTGCGTCAGGCAGCAGGAGCTGCTGGGTGCAGATGTGGGGTGCAGAAGGCACACGGGGCTCAGGGGAGCAAAGCACAGCTCCGCAATCCCCCCTGGAGAGGGCAACGCCCTGCCTGCTGCTCCGCAGGCAGGGTCTGTGGCTGGAGAAGACGCGGCGCCTCGGGGCTGAGCACAGCCGCAGCCTGGCCCAGTTATCAGTGGAGGGGCAGGGAGATAAGCTGCTCTCCATGCTTGACATGATGTGGGGAAACCAGCCTCGTGGGGCGATTGCCTGGCGCCAGCACCGCCCAGCTGCACCCCAGAGCTCGCTGCCCGTTTTGCTTGCTGCTGTAAAGCAGCTGGGGTGTTCCCCTTCCCCTGCGGCAGGCC